TTTGACTGTCCCTCTGGTATCTTTTGTACTTTTTTGTCTGGTTGTTGTCTCTGTGACACATTCCCGTTTCCATTCTTTATTCTATATATTTGTACAATCCAATTATAGTTTGTGACTTGTTCGACACCAGTTAAATTTGATGCAACTAATAAATCCAGACCGTCTGGCTATACTTCCATGGTCAGGCTAAATAAACGATCAATGTCATTTAACAACTCTTAAACCAAGATAAATGATAATGAAGTGATGTTCTATAAAAAAACTGACATATTTTGTGTTTGGGCGAAATCAATTGTGTATTGTTTTGAACAAAAAGCAACCCTAAATGAATTATAAACATGTAAAGGAATAAGACAAAACCAATCAACTTGTGTAAATATTTTATATTCAAAATATTTTTAAAAAGTCAAGTTCTATAATCAGCATATTTCATTTCATCAAATCGTGTTTAAAACAAAAGTTTTTTATTCTAAAACTTGCATATGCAGTCTCAAAATCTGCAACATGGAAAACTAGGGAGAGGTGTTTGAGAAAACGAGGCACTGGAAACGTCTGATTTTGCTTGGTGGTAATAGAATATGGTTCGGTTCCTTCCGTGCAATATATTATTTGGTGCTAACAATTCTCAAAAAAGAAATTTTTAAACTTTTACATACCTTGATCGCTTTTTCTCCGCTTCAAAACCGCCACCCCGTGTCAAACATAGTCAACACCCCGCATGTGGCGTTCTACACGGTGAATTAGGTTACGTTGTATGTATCAAGTGTTTATTGATAAAAGATAAGTTTGATTGATTGTTTTTTGTTTAACGGCCAATGGCAAAATTGTCATGAGTGTTCAGAAGGTAGATTACTCTCCTATCCATATTTCTGGCAATCTAATTAGAATATAGACCTCTGATTTCTTTATCCTCATAAGAGTACGAGCAGGCGAGTTAATATAGGTCTGAATTTCAATCAGATTGTATTTCTGGTCCACGTTTAGGCCAAAAAAATCTAAATATTTAAAACTATCCCGCTGCTAAACGAACGCCCTCGTATAGCTCTGGTCTAACTGTTCTTCTATATAGGTCAGGGTGGTCACATTTGTGTACTTGAGTAAAATTAATCATCTTAAATAAATGTGTGAATATTGTTGATATTCGCATATCACATTTCGAAAACAATTTAGAGAAAAATAAAACAGTAAGTAAGACGCCCATTTCTAGGATTATAAACAAAATTCAAGTACTCGCAAAGCATTTTGTGTTTGTATCGGCCGCCAAAGCAGCAAACAATGTGGTGGTGGTGTGACGTTAATACTCCACGAAAGTCCTTAAGAATGAAATTATACATTCATCCAAATTCAAGGCCGTACGCGCCACAGATAGTCATATATTAAATAATCATGTCACAACCACAGCTCAGATTAAGGCCTCCTCTGAACATTTGAAGGTCCCCACTATGTATTGGTTACCTTAACTACACAAAAAACCCGTAAAATATCGTTTCATCTCGGCCTCTAGTAAGTGTTCTACTACTAATCTTTCGGTGCTTTTAACAAGTTCATTAACAACTACCATCAAAGAACTTATCATTATTTTTTGTAATGAAACATGAAAATAGTGGAATTAACTACTTTTGGAGTCAAATATTCTTTGGATGTTTTAGATAAATTACGTGCTTATGGTGGTCTTTTTGATTCGGTTGACAGGTTTTTACTTTTCCACTCTTTATATTACACTTCCACACAATATTATCAAACAAAAGTTTTTCTATTTAATTAAATAATCGTTTGATTAATCTGACGGCAAATTAATTTGCTGCAATTAATATAAAGCCTTTTTCTCAAATTAGAAAGGTACATATGCTAGATGTATTTTCTGAAGGTGTGATGAAATGACTTAAGCTGTAATTTTTCTCCTTTATAACATTTATGTACGTTTCGGCAATACAGTTTATCGACAGGTTGTAGGTATTCCTATGGGCACCAAATGTGCCCCTTTAATAGTAGAATTGTTCATATTCTGTTATGAATCACAGTTTATGGCCAAACTCAGTTAAGAACCGTATAAATTCCATTGAATTGCTAAATGCAACAACACTTACCGTTATCTTGATGATATCTTATCGTTAAATAATCAAGAATTCTCTGAATATACAGCTGAAATTTACCAAAATGAACTTACTTTAAATAAATCAAATATTAACAGCAATAACTGTTCTTTCCTAGATTTGGATATTTCAGTGTTATACTAGAAACTCTAAACAAAAAATTACGATTACAGTGATGTTCTTTCCCTATTGTTAATTTTTCTTTTCTGGAAGGTGATGTTCTTTTGGTTACGTATTACGTTGTTTATACATGAAATATATCCCAACTCGTTCCCTATGCCCGTGTCTGTTGTGACGTTTTGGATTTCAATGAGCGTAATCTCGATGTATTACTAGTAAATTATTAAGTCGTTACTACAAATTACTAAAAACCTTTACCAAATTCTTCCATAGGTACAAAGATTTGGTTTGCAAGTTTGGCTATAAAACATATTTCAAACGGAATAGCATATCCCAAATTTTACGGTGATGTTGTTAACGGAGCTCAGAAACTTAGATATGATTCGGGTAAACTTATCAATCCTTTAAATAAATTTATTCTAAAAGGTTACCAATTCAACACTGCAATTAAATCTTTGAATATTGTTTTATTGGTATAAATATTGATTTTGTTATCAGTAGATTAAAACCATACTAAATATTATTGATATACACATATGTACTTTCACGGTACTACAATATGTCGATACCTATATTGTGGCATTGCACAAGGTCATGTTTTACTCTGACTGTTAAAGACGTCTTTACACTAAATCCGTTGGATGTTTGATGTGTCCTGATTGACATTTTAGTCTTAGATACATGATTTTTTTTATTAGTTGTTATTGGCTTTGATCTAGCTGTCAATAACTGCGAATACTCTCAGATCTGTACTTGGTGTCTCTTTTGTTGTTAGGGACGAGGGATAGATAAATACCCTGCCACGTCCGGTCTGTGTTTTTATTTGATGTTTTTTCTGCTTTGTATCGATCTGATGAGTAAAGCTTTTTTCAACTGATTTTTATAGTTTGTTCTTATGTTGTGCTGTTACACCACTGTACCAGATTAGGAGAGGTTTGAGCGCTCATAAACATGTTTAACTCCGCCACATTCTGTATGTGCCTGTCACTATAGCTAGTCAGGAGCATATAGTTCAGTGGTTGTCGTTCGTTCATGTCTGTCACATTTTTTTTCGTAAATTGTTTTGTTATAAATTAGGCCGTTAGTTTCCTCAATTGAATTTTTTCATATTTTTTATATCGGGGCCTTTTATAGCCGACTATACGGTATGGGTTTTCTCATTCTTGAAGGCCGTACGGTTGCCTATATTTGCTTACATCCACTTCATTTGTACTTTGGTGGATAGTTGTCTCATAGGAAGTCATACCTCATCTCCTTATTTTTATATTGAAGTAACCATGTCAGAAGGAAAATAAAACATGTATTATTCTGACAAAAGAAGAAGATACCTATAGCTGTATTGGTATATAAGAAGTAATTTATTGTTTATGTAAATATTGTCCTGAATACGAAGTTTCGGATACGAATATATAGATAAATAGATAAGTAGGTAGATACATAAATTAACTAGACAAGTGTCATGAAGTATATTCATTCGCAAACAGTACTAGTGGAAAAACACCGTATCCATAGTCAATAATTTTCGGTATATGTATACTGGCATATTAGACACTCACCCTCTTTAGTGTTTGTCAATGGAAATCAACACAAACTCTTGAAGAGTTTTTAAGAAAACAAATCACCATACATATGTTACATCCGTATATCAGTAATCAGAAAAAGAAATGTATTTTTTATTTCAAAATGAAATAATACACCAGACTAGTTCCCAAGGGATTTATCAGCTAAGTAGTCGGTTCAGATTTATCACATAGCTTTTTAAACTTGCCATTGATAAATTCAGAAAATATTCAGAAATAAGGTTCCAATTCCCCCAGACAATGTTCGCCTTAGGTGGATTTGCTTATTCTTGTTAGATTACTTTTGGCAATTAAGCCCCTCATGTGTATAAGTATTTATATTTTCTTGGATTTCATTTCAGCTCTAGAATAACGCTTTGAACGCACCACCTTATGGTTAAGAGATATTTTTACATTATGGCACGCAATTTTGTGTTAGAATTTCATTAATCGTCATAAAGAGTTATAGTAAATTATAAACCTTCTTATATGGGACATGCAGTTGAAAAGAAAACAAAAAAGCATGGGTTGTCATGCTATGCACTATACACCCATTCGTAATTCAAAATATCAATATCTTGAAGTGGGTGTCTGACAAATCCGAAAAGTGAAAAACATTACAGCAAATCATTGACAACCTGCGGACCTATAAAATAACATGAACACATTATTTTCGGTAATAGTGGAGAAATTTCAAGTTTATTAAACATGTTAAAATAATCAAACTTTAGTCTAATGGCAAACAGGAAGAACGGCTCTGACGGACCCGATATTTGCCAATAAAATTATGACTCATCACTTTCAAGCTGCGGACCGAACATGAAGTCATTGTACTTGGTAGTAGTAGAGAAATGTGTGACTGACGAACAATTTAAAGTTAATAAAGCATGATGAAAGTTCAAAGTAACGACAAACAGGAAGCAGGCGTCAAATAGTAGAGCTCACACTTATACATTTTGTACATTGTACTTTCTCACTGTGAAGCTGATGACTCAACACAGAATGGAAAGTATCGGCAAATAGGAAGCAGGCGTCCGACGGATCAAAAAAGGTCTCTCACTTTACAAATAATCACTGTCAAGCTGCTCAAATTAATTAAAGTAAATTTGTGTTGTAGCAGACAAGAAAATTGTGACGGAAATATTTGTTGGACGAACGAACGAACGAACCGACGGAAGGACGAACAAGGTGAATGCAATATAGCGGACGTAGAACAAACAAGAATATATACTGTTGCAAAAGAAATTATTCTTCAACAAATTTGTACATCTGATTATGTTCGGTGAAAAATGATCCTGATATCAAAGTTCTTCTACAGTAGTTTTCGTGGTCGTGTCATACCGGTTCTTCTTACTATGTTTCAGTAGCTACAAAATAAATATAAAAATAAAAATACTCATGTTGAACCTGTGTTAGTGCACCATATAGATGTCGTGCAGTTTGGATTAGTTTTAACCTCTTTTTAGTCTTAACAGTTCTAGAAAAGTTTTACCATAGACCTGTTCTATGATCATGATGATAGTGCTGTCAAAATTAGTTCAAGAATACAACTGTTCAAATCTGTTCTAGGATATAACTGTCAGAATCAGATCTAGGGTAGAACAGTTCTAAAGGACCATGTCATTATCTCGGGGAGTGCTTTTACACTCGAGTTTTCATGACATTGTTCAATCTTATGTAATGATAAATGTGTGGTTTAGTATTATTAAGTACAAATCGGCACGCACTAATGAAAAACACATCGCTCGAACCCTATATGGAATTTACTGACCCCATATATATCGTATTAGGTCACTAGTACACTGAGACTTAACTAATAATATTGCCCTTTAGTATTGTCTAATAGCCTAATAGGACGGTATAATACTAAACCCCTAACAGGAGGGATTGTGCCTGATATTCATATGATGAAGACATTATCTTTCAATCAGTTTAATTGATGTCTGGAGCTGGCATGTCAGTAACTACTAGTAGTCTGTTGTTATTTATGTATTATTGTTATTTTGTTTATTTTCTTTTGTTTCCTATTCTGACATCGGACTCGGACTTCTCTTAAACTGATTTTTACTATGCGTACTGTTGTACGTTTGTTTTTTCTACATTGGCTAGAGGTATAGGGGGAGGGTTGAGATCTCAAAAAATATGTTTAACCCCGCCGCATTTTTGCGCCTGTCCCAAGTCAGGAGCCTCTGGCCTTTGTTAGTCTTGTATCATTTTTAATTTTAGTTTCTTGTGTATAATTTGGAGTTTAGTATGACGTCCATTATCACTGAACTAGTATACATATTTATTTAGGGTCCAGCTGAAGGACGCCTCAGGGTGCGGGAGTTTCTCGCTGCATTGAAGACCCATTGGTGGCCTTCAGCTGTTGTCTGCTCTATGGTCGGGTTGTTGTCTCTTTGACACATTCCCCATTTCCGTTCTCAATTTTATTTGACAAACTCGCATTTGACTTTTCTACACTTTACACAAGTATTCCCCATTCCAAACTAAAAGACAAATTGAAAGAGTTGGTATTACTTTGTTTCATTAAAAAGAATGGCGAACGTAGAAACAAGTATCTTGTCTTGGGGAGGGATAAATCCTACTTTGTAAAGAATCACTCTGATTCAAACAAAAAATTCTCTGAAACTGACATTATCAAGATGCTTGATTTCTTGATTGACAACATATTTGTTACGTTTGGAGGACGTGTTTTTCAACAGACTGTCGGAATTCCAATGGGAACCAATTGTGCCCTCTTCTTGCCGACTTGTTTCTTTATTATTATGAGGCTGACTTCATACAGGAACTTCTTAGGAAGAAAGATAAGAAGTAAGCAATATCCTTTAACTTTACGTTTCGCTATATAGATGATGTTCTCTCTCTAAATAATACAAAATTTGGTGACTATGTTGAACGAATCTATCCCATCGTACTAGAGATAAAGGATACTACAGATACAGTTAAGTCTGCCTCATATCTTGACTTACATCTAGAAATTGACAATGAGGGTCGGTTGAAAACAAAACTTTTCTGACAAAAGAGATGATTTCAGCTTCCCAATTGTTAACTTTCCATTTCTATGTAGCAACATTCCAGCAGCGCCTGCATACGGAGTATATACCTCCCAATTGATACGATATTCCCTGGCTTGTATTTTCTATCATGATTTCCTTGATAGATGATTACTGCTCACAAGGAAGCTATTAAACCAAGAGTTCCAAATGGTGAAGTTGAAATCATCCCTTCGTAAATTTTACGGACGCCATCACGAGTTGGTTGACCGTTATGGAATAACCGTTTCACAGATGATATCGGATATGTTCCTTATGTCGTAACTACAATACCCTTCCCTTTTTACGAATGTGACCTACCGAATTAGACTATTTACTGGGTTTGTAATAACATAAGCAACGCGACGGGTGCCACATGTGGAGCAGGATCTGCTTACCCTTCCGGAGCACCTGAGATCACCCCCAGTTTTGGTGGGGTTCGTGTTTCTTAGTCTTTATTTTTCTATGTTGTGTCATCTGTACTATTATTTGTCTATTTGTTTTTTTATTTTTGGCCATGGCGTTGTCAATTTGTTTTCGATCTATGAGTTTGACTGTCCCACTGGTATCTATCGTCCCTCTTTTTGCAAGTCAAGCTATTGTTTTTTTTTTTAAAGTTAACGTCACAGGAAACGTCTTTTTTTGTTATAGGCTATGTGTTACATTATAAACACAATGCCTTTTGTAAAGTGTGTTATTGTGTATTAGCGCTCGATGGAAAAATACCACCCTCATAGTTTTTATTACAATGAATGAAAAGAGTCAGATATATTTACTTGTCTTATATCGTTCTTGTAAACGCAATTCCACTCTGTGTTTATGTGGATGGGACTTGAGAAAAATGACACAAAATATACTTCTGAAATTACCTGATTATCAAAGAAATTTGTACAATTCAAAGTATTATATTTAAAATAAACAGTTTTAATACCAGTTTAAAATCGTATCAAACTGATTTCCCTTCTCGTGGAAAACTACGGTATAACTCAATTTTGAGAAATATCAGAAAAAGAAATTCAACTTTACCGTCAATGCAATAAACGATAATAACAAATGATTTTACTTCGTTATAGTGCTTTAATATCCCTTTGATGAAATAACTGACTGACCTAAGGTCGAATGACAAAGAATACAAACATAATGAATATGACCACAACTTTCAATACGGGAATATAAAAAGACAGTATATATAAAAATTATGTACCTGGACATGGGAATGACCATAATCCAATCGAACCCCATCCTGTAGAAACTCCAACATTCATGATTTTATATGGGTTTGTTGTATCAGTCCATTCCATGAGTTTCTTTTCCAATTCGTCTTCTACTCTAATACGTCCATTGCTCCATTTAATCGTAAATGTCCTATATTCATTTGAATTGAGCACTCGTCCACGATGCAATGCCAAATGACCACCCTGTTTCCTGTCACGGATAACCGACTGTGAGTTACCCCAACCACCCAATACTATCTCATAAAGAGGATCGTTTTCATTATTTGAAGACATCAAAGCAACGTGTGCATCGTTGTGGGCTTTAACTTTGAACCTAATACTTTCGCGAACTGGATTTCCCATATCAATGCCATTGTCTGCCAGAAGTATGTATTTATAAAGGTTCGGGGTTTTTATTATTGGTCCCTGACAATCTGTAAATATAAAATGGCAATAAAAATTTATTAAAGTAGGAGTTGTGGATCGCATGATTAGTTGTGAATTAACAGAACTGGAAATTATTAAGCACGTTTGCATAATTCAATGTTTACATTGTAAATATTCAGAATAAACAGTTTTTATGTTTTATTAATTTTTTAATTACATTGTGTCATAATCAAATATATCAGTTCAGTGTCTGTTCACTTGTTTTTGTTAATATGTCTTTAGATTGACTTAAGCCATTTCAATTGATATTTTATAGTGTGTCTTTCTATGTTGTGATGTAACACTATTGTTTCAGGTTTAGTGAAGGTTGGCGCCTATTAAAACGTTTAAACCCGCTGCATTTGTTTGCACCAGTCATAAGTCAGGAACCTGATGTTCAGTGGTTGTCGGTTGTTGATGTGGTTCAAAAGTGTTTCTCGTTTCTCACTTGTTATAGATTAGACCGTTGGTTTTCCTGTTTGAAAAGGTTTTACACTAGTCATTTTTGGGGCCCTTTATAGCTTGTTGTTCGGTGTGAGCCAAGGCTCCTTGTTGAAGGCCATACTTTGACCTATAATGGTTTTCTTTTACAAATTGTGACTTGGATGGAGAGTTGTCTCCTTGGTACTCATACCACATCTTCTTATATCTAATTAATAATTGTTTACTGTAAGAACGTACCAAACGGAATTTCATCCGCATGGCACAACGGTATAACTCAATTTTTTGAAATATTAAAACGAAATTTTACTTTACCGCCAATTCAATTGTACAATACTTTTAAATGATTTTACTTCATTAAAGTGCTTTGGTTTCTTTTTTATGAAAAAAAGTGACTGACATACAGACATACGACAATGAATACAGAAACAATGAATATTACCACAACTTTCTCCACGGGAAATATAAAAAGACAGTATGTACCTGGACATGGGAATGACCACAATCCAATCGAACCCCATCCTGTAGAAACTCCAACATTCCTGATTGTATATGGGTTTGTGGTATCAGTGCATTCCATGAGTTTCTTTTCCAATTCGTCTTCTACTCTAATACGTCCATTGTTCCATGTAATGGTAAATGTCCTATATTCATTTGAATTGAGCACTCGTCCACGATGCAATGCCAAATGATCACCCTGTTTCCTGTCACGGATGACCGACTGTGAGTTACCCCAACCACCCAATACTATCTCATAAAGAGGATCGTTTTCATTATCTGAAGACATCAAAGCAACGTGTGCATCGTTGTGGGCTTTAACTTTGAACCTAATACTTTCGCGAACTGGATTTCCCATATCAATGCCATTGTCTGACAGAAGTATGTATTTATAAAGGTTCGGGGTTTTTATTATTGGTCCCTGACAATCTGTAAATATAAAATGGCAATATAAATAATTAAAGTATGGGTTGTGGATCGCATGATTAGTTGTGAATTAACAGAACTGGAAATTATTAAGCACATTTGCATAATTCAATGTATACATTGTAAATATTTACAATAAACAGTCTTAATAATCATGATAATTGTTTACTTTAAAAAAGTAATAAACGGAATTTCATCTGCATGGCAAACTACGGTATAACTCAATTTTTAGAAATATCAAAACGAAATTTTATTTTATCGCCAATTCAATTGTACAATATTTTTAAATGATTTTACTTCATTGTAGTGCTTTGATTTCCTTTTTATGAAAAAAATAAAACTGACTGACGTACAGACATACGACATGGAATACAGACACAAAGAATATGACCACAACTTTTTCCATGGGAAAAATAAAAAGACAGTATGTACCTGGACATGGAAATGACCAATAACCAGTCGAACCCCATCCTGTAGAAACTCCAACATTTCTGATTTTATATGGGTTTGTGGTATCAGTCCATTCCATGAGTTTCTTTTTCAATTCGTTTTCTACTCTAATACGTCCATTGTTCCATTTAATGGTAAATGTCCTATATTCATTTGAATTGAGCACTCGTCCACGATGCAATGCCAAATGACCGCCCTGTTTCCTGTCACGGATGACCGACTGTGTGTTACCCCAACCACCCAATACTATCTCATAAAGAGGATCGTTTTCATTATTTGAAGACATCAAAGCAATGTGTGCATCGTTGTCGGCTTTCACTTTGAACGTAATACTATCACGAACTGGATTTCCAATAACAATTCCATTGTTTGACAAAAGTTTATATTTATAAAGGTTCGGGGTTTTGATTCTTAGCTCCTGACAATCTGTAAATATAAAAAGACAAAAGAAAGTTTTTAAAATAGTTGTGGATCGCATGAGCAGTTTTGAGTTTACTGGACTCAAAATTATTTTGCACGTACCTATAGCACCTGCGAAATTAAAAATAAATTTTATCAATATTAGTAACCTTCTTTAAATAAATGATTTAAAATAACCCATCAATGGGCTTTCTAATGATGACAATATCATAATTTGTTTTTAAACAATGAATAATGACAATCCATTTAAACGTCTACAATGCCACTATTGCTGTTATCTTCTGGTTTTATGGACTTGTTTTTCCTTTTTGTCATTTTTCTTTTGGTCATGGTGCCCGGGTGTCTCGTCTCCTCAATAGGTGTTTAACTGTAACAAGTTTTAGCTTTCTTACAAGCTTTGGAGTGCTTTGTTGTATCATACTTTTAAGTAAGAGGTGGTTTATAAAACTAGGTTTAATCCACCATTTTCTACACAAGAAATGCCTGTACCAAGTCAGGAATATGAGAGTTGTTATCCATTCGTTTGATGTGTTTGAACTTTTGATTTTGCCATTTGATTAGGGACTTTTCGATTTAGTTTTCCACGGAGTTCGATATTTTTGTTATTTTACTTTTTACGTGGTTTTTTTAAGTATGGGAAATGTGTTATTTATCTTCTTTGAGCATATACTCATAAGTGTGGCATTATAAACCCGTCTTAGACGTGGTTTGCCCATGAATACTTCCTATAAAACTCAAATCTAATTAACCAATTCCCTCAAAACGTGACCAGAACACTAGGATTGATAGAAGAAAGCCTTCTTTTGCTTTTAAAATTCTTTGGTGGCGTCATTCCAGAGATATCGTTTGATTTTGAAAATTCATGAAGATTTGTCATTTCACAGTTATGGGTCTTAAACGGTCAGATTTATAAAAGGTAATATTCTACATGTCATGCACTTAATTTAGTATGCATAGTTTAATTTACTACAAACTGTACACTGTTTTTGGTATTGGTGAAACTAGACTCGCTGTTGATTATAAAAAAATATGTTTTGTTTTTCCAGAATTATGGGACTTTTAACAGTCATCTTTGACGCAATATTTATTTGCATATCTCTAGTATCAACGAAAACTCTCACCTTTAGAATCATCTTTCATTGTAAGTATATCTTCATCAAGTTGTTTCAAATTGCCGTGTATGGTGTTGATTTGACCTTTAAGTGTGCTGACAGTCCTTGTTTTATCAAAATCTTTCTTAGAAACGTTGGTAGGACCAGGTAAACCAAGCACAACACCGAACAAACCGAGCAGGGCAATCATCAATATTGTACTCATTATTTCCTAGAATATTATAAATCAGTTATTTTATAAAAGAGTGTAGAAGAGAAAAGCACATGAAACATGTATAAAAACTGAAGTACTTTCATTACTATGTTGTTTTCGAAAAAATAATAATATGGGTTTAGATACATGTACCGCCAGGTGTCTATTTGAGAGAACGGTACTTTCGAGAACCGCCACGGAACCATCAAGAGTTAGTATATAAGAGAGTGAGAGTGTTGGAGAGTTAGTTTAGCTTTAGCTTAGTTTGTCGTTAGTAAATAGGTGCATAAGAGTGTAGAAAGGACTATTTATGTCTTTTATTTGCAAATGTGAACGAAATTATATGAATATATTCACATATTGTTAAACAAGTAGAAGTTATAAAATAATTATATCATTAGAATTTAAAATTGTCTTAGTTGTTTATGGTTTTTATTGACTTTCCATAGACACGCTCCCAATTAACCATAATGGCATAGCCACTAGCAAACCCTATAAAAATGGACACGTTACAAATGGTAGCAGCGAAGGGATAGCTACATTAAAAATGAAATTTGGAAACGAGTGTGCTAATAGGTACTTACACATTGATTTCAAATAGTTGAAGACATGGATTCAAATACAACCAATTATTAAACATATTCAATAAATTAAACTAACGTTGGAACAAATGATTCAAAACATCATAATTATTATTCCAAGAGTTATACCGAAGATTATGCAGGAAATCTTCATCCTCAACAGAAGATTCCTGACAGTAGTCCGTCAGAAGAGAGAACCAACGTATAGTCAGAACCCCACATCACAGACATACTACACAACTGACCAGACAATTCAAACAGACATACAAATAAATCTGACAAAGACCCCGACAAAAATTGTTGTGGCTGATAGTAAAGTTGACAAAGACGCCAACAAGAAAAGACATTTTGGCAGTTTGAAAACATTGCAAAATTAAATGATTGGAATGTTAACAGGAAACGACTGGTGTTCATGACAACACTAAGAGGTCACGCAGAGACATTTATGTATGGTCTCTCAAAAGAGTTAAAAAGAAATTGAGATCGTTCAATTAATTGTATGGAATAACGATTTGGACATTAAAGAAAGTCACCTCGCTGAATCAAGGTTAAGAAAAGCAGGAGAATCGTTCAGATATTTGGGGCAAGCAATGCAAGATTTGTATAGACGTGCATATCCTTCTAGCCCCTAAATTGTGCAGGAAAACAGCATCCGACAATTTCTTGATGCTTGTGGAGAATCAGAAGATTTGGCAATAAGATGCACTAAGTCAAAGACACTTCAGGAGACAGTGACAAGTGCTATGCAGGAAGAATGCATATACAGCAGTCATATATCTTACATATTCTGTATAATTATTCCAAATTAATCAGGTTTGTTACTTATATTTTTTTAATATTTGCACATTTTCCTTTAACTTTTAATCTGAGAGAAAATGTATTTTTGAATAAGTCAGAATGATTGTACATGAATGATAGATATTTTCATTTAAGGAAGTATTTTCATGAACTCAGAAAAATAATGCATCATAGATATATAGATGATACATGTATTGGCACAGTTGTATTATTATTATAAAAGTTCCAAAGTAACCTACCTGTGAACATTATACTTATTGTTTATAAATGCTATGCAGATATAACTTAGTTCATAAGACTTATGTTGGTTATATTTATATTTTGTACAGGATCAGAATATCTTGATGTTTTAATAGTCTGGTGATGTTACAAACAGGAGATGGACCTATGTTTCATACATAGTAAGATCGGTGTATTCAATGTATTTTTAGTTTACTGTATTGTGTGTGTTTGTCTATTTAATTTTAGTTCAGTTTATGTACTGCTTGTCTCTTGTGAATAGTAGTTACCTGTACGTCAATAATTACACTTATATACCTATATGGAGTTATTTTCTTTCAGAACGATAGGTCATTCTTTCGAAGAATCAACCCGGACGATACCATGTTTCAATGAAATATGCTCCAAGGCATAAAATAATGACCTGTGTGAGGTCATTATTTTCCTTGATAAAAATGCAAACTATAATTTACTTCAAAATTATATTCGTCTGATAGTTTCTGTTGCCGATTTGGGCATTTATTTTTTAAAGTTCAATCTATGATAGGTGTAAACAAAATCGTCATTGCCCGAATTTTAATTTTAGAAACAAATAATGTGAAGTTTTGTTAATTTATCGCTACAATACAGAGACATTATCATATATGCGAGATGAATTTTATTGTAAAACTTTCATAACACTTTAAAATAAAGCCAGATTTAACATATTCGTGTGTAAGATTTTGAAAATCTTATTGATTCACACATACGGTCGGTCTTTCATTTGATCAATCCTGACACCCCCTCGGTGTGTTCTACGACAAGAAAAACCTTAAAATATGCATTATCTATAACGTAAACATTAAAGTAACAAATAGTTCATTCATAAATCTATGAATGATTAACGTAATATTGTTGGGCAGAATGAATCCTGACTTGGTATATTTTTGAGTTGAATTGGATTTATACATTTCAAATGTATACACTTTAGTAGTATTGGTTGTATTCTAATAGAACAGAGCCAGTTTATCGTATTTTATACATGTACTTTCCGTTTAACTAATTAAAGTTATATCCCTTTGTACACCGTATTGTCTATGTATTTATGTTTTGCTTTTTGTGTACAAGAACACTGTTACAAAAACAACACGTGGTTAATAAAACTAGAATACTCATTTATAGGAACGGTAAAAATACGGTCTTCACCAATAATTATAATTGATATTTTATGTGTCGATTTTATATTAATAAGAATTGAACAAGCAATGACCTCTAGCTCTTTCTAGTTTTAAATTTACTAGCAATGATAACTGTATATGTCCTTGCTACAGAATTAAACAGCTGTGGTACATACAGAACGGCCGATGAAGTCATTTCAGTCATGAGAAACTACTTTACGCATCAATAAAAAGAAATTATTAAAATTAACACGTGTGAAAACATATTTAATATGTGCGAATATCCAGACTTCTACTGTATCAAACTAAAAGTTACATTCTCAAATAAAATTAAACACAAAACAAATGAATAATTCCATTACATGTATGTTTCATTAGAATCCGTTATTTTGATTACCTGACAACAACGACAAAACACTCCAATATCATATTTCATTTCCGTAAAATTATATGACATGTACATGTATATGTTTCATTGAAATCCGTAATTTTGATTTGCTGACAACAATTTGGGCACACTAATATCAAATTTCATTTCTGTATAAAATACAACAGCTCTTACTTCACGTGCTATCCGTGACAAAGTTCAAATAATGCATTGAAAAACAAGCGAAAAGGTTGATATAAATCTAAGACTTAATTTCATGGTTGTAGCATACAAATGCAATTATTATAATTGAATGCTTCTTTTTATAATTTAATAGGGTTTTAAAAGCGTTCATCGTGCTAATGCTTTTAAAATATGTTTCGGTCAACGCTTTTAACCCCAATAAAATTATAAAAAGAAGCATGCAAATCTTAAATAACTTTATCATGTTCAAACTAAACTTACAATTCCCCAAGGAAAAACGTTTATCTCAATTATTTTAGGATTTGATGATGATAGCCAACGTTTACACATTTTGATTTTTAATACTTTAATCTTTGAGCCTACTAAATGACGCTATTACAAAAAAGTATGCCAATACACGGATATCAGTAACATGGTTTTTTCTTCCATTTTATACACAGTTCTCTAGTGTTTTATTGTCATTTATAGTATGTGGTCTTTCTCTGTTAGTAATTTGCGCGATATTAAGAGCTACATACTGTTGTAAAACAGATTGAAAATAAACATAAGCATAAGCTATTTTGTTTACTTTAAAAAAAAAAAAAGAAAGAAGATTCATTAGAATTTACATAATCTAAATAATAAAAGGGCGAGGCCTCAAACGAATGGAATTAATATTTTACTTAGCTGCCAAACTAAATATGCATATGAATAGATGGCAGGGAAAAAGTCACAAGGTGTTTTAAAAAACCGACATATTATTTCTCTTACAAATGAGTTTTGATATTTCATTATTGTTATAATGAATGCATGCATATATTCTCTAAAGAATCGTTGTTGAGAAAGTAACAGTAAACGGTTTTTTGGAATGACAAAAAAGCATTCAGTGGAGAAAATATTATAATTTCATTTCTTTAGATTAACTTTAGTAGGAAGAGTGTAATGTTTATTTCTTTTTCATTTTATGAATACATTCATTATCAGCGCATATTGGTTAGACCGAGAACGAGTGACCAAAATGCTGTAACATGTGAAATTTTTCTCATCTATTTTTTTTTTTTTGTATCATATTGTTTCTAATTTTAAAAGTAGTTTAACAAAATGTCCCAAACAAAATAAAATATGTAAATACCAACTTGTTTATGTTTATTTTTAAATTGTTTAAGGCATACACTTACACAAATATTTTACTATCAAAACAATTCCCAATTGTCCAACATTTATACTTCCCAATTGTCCCACATACATTTTGTACATCTTTCCGATTGTCTCACATAATTTCTTTTCTTTTTTATCTGTTAATTTTAAAAGTGGGACATTTGGGAAGACACCTTTTACTCGACCATTCTGAATAAGACAAAAATGTACTGGAAATTACTTCAACCCCATCTTAACCATACTTATTACTTTTCACCTGTACCACACCCGATCAGTGTATGGATTATATAAGACCAGTGCATTTTTATTTTATCCATCTTGATTTTAGAACTTACTATATTATTCAAGAATTTCTTGATTCTTTTATAATGTTATTGGAGTGTAAAAGCTTTGACCGAAGCACATTTTGTCCTTTAAGAATGTGCATACGATCATTCAACGCTTTTACGACCCTATACAATTACAAAAATTCTTACATTATACAGTAATATTTAGTTACCAGTGAAAGTGGAATTTCCCTTTTTCTGAAATTATCTGACAGGATACTGCATCTTT